TTTGTACCTTTAGGAGCCTACAACTTGACACCTCTTCTCATCTGCGCTAAAGAAAATGTCAAGAGTTTTACTTTCAATCATGTTTTATACCCTTGTTTTTCATATATCTTTGGTAAAAGCTCCATTACACAATATGGCCAAAGCACGAAGGACTAATACTGTCCAACTATACCATGATAACCTGCTCAATTTTAGTTTTCAAATACCCTCATAAACAAAACATTGTCCTGTGTACTGCCTTTTCAGTCATTTCTGAAATTCCCTAAAATCAATTCCTTGAGGATCTCTAAAATTAATTCTTAAGGCTATACAAGAACCAGATGCTGCTTCACAATTCTACACTAAGCATTAACATTGGGTTCAAAGTATCATACTGGTCTCAACAATCTGGTTACTGGTCCTAACCAGTTAAGCAAGTAATCGTTAGAATCTGGATACCACTAGTGAGGACACGGTTTACCCTTCAAAAAAAGTTTACATTCATTGTCATCTGCAGGTTCTTTCTCTTCACCCTACTTCCCCTTTGTAATTAAGTCTACATATCATTCACTCATCACATTTCCTTCCTTAAGGGGGAAGCAAATACTTGAACATTGGAAAACCCAAGTCCTTTGGTAAGAAATTGTATTTCTCATATTTTAAGGCTAAAAAAAGGTTTATAATTGATGTAGTTAAATCGAACCATAACTATTGCTGATCATGGGGCAAGTGATTATAGCCTGCAGAAAAAGTTATAGTCTAAGAACTTAAAAAAAAGATGAAGTTTTTGTTTAATTGCATCAACTTCTGTATTTATGTGAATTTATAAACTGCTAAGTTTTGAATGAGGTTCATCTTGTCTAATGAGAGTCTGTAGACTATGATCTCCCAAACTAAATGTACAGTACTTGGAATTGTGTTCTTTATAGTTGTAGTGTTGGTAAAGCACTAATATGCAGAAAATAAAGGAATTACACAGTGGGAAAAAAAAGTACTCTGGAGGAGAGAGAGGATTACCAAAATTAACTAGCTTAAGCACTCTGCAACCGGTCAGGAAAATTTATTTGTGGGGGTGGATGGAGTCCTCGTGGCTTAGGCAATGACATGTTGGCTGCTAGCTGCGAGGTCAGCGGTTTGAAACCACCAGCCCCATCCAAGGGAGACGGACGAGGCTTTCTACTCCTGTGAAGATTTACAGCCCGGAACCCCCAAGGGTAGTTCTACCCTGTCCTCCAGGGTCGCTAGGAGTCCAAATGGTCTTGATGACAGGGAGTTTTTAATTGCGGGGAGGGGGTAGAGAGCTAACTCAGTAAAAATTCCTCGGCGGTGGTGCCCGGCTATCAAAAGATATAGCGTCTGGGGTCTTAAAAGCTTGAAGGTAAACAAGCGGCCATCTAGCTCAGAAGCAACAAAGTCCACATGGA